TCTTTGCCTAGCATGCACTGGGATCCCATATGGGCACCAGTTCTAATAACAGCAGCCCCACTTCCCATCCAGCTCCCTGCTGTGGCCTGGGAAAGCCGTCTAGGACAGCCCAAAGTCTTGGGACCTTGCACCAGCGTGAGTGACCTGGAAGAGCTCCTGGCTCCTGGCTTCTGATCGGTGAGTATCGGCCATTGCAGTCACTTGGGGAGTGAATCATCAGATGGAAGATCTTTCTCTCTGTCTATCCTCTTCTCTGTATATCTACCTTTCCACTAAAAATAATATATATATGTATTTATATATTTAAGAAATGACATGATGTAAGATTTATAGATATATTTTGAAAAGTGGATTTTCATTCATTAATATGAATCCTGGAATATTTTCAATGTATAAATTCTTTGTCATATATAACATTTACTTACTTGAAATACAGAGTTACCGAGAGAGACAAAATGGTCAAAATAGGTCTTTATGCTCTTGATTCACTCCCCAGATGGCTGCAGAAGCAGGGCTGGTGAAGCTGAAACCAGGAGCATCATTTGGGTCTCCTGTATGCTTGCAAGGCTTCAAATACTTGTGCAAACAGCAGGCAGTTGGATCACAAGTGAAGCTGCCTGGACAACATTCGGCTCACACAAGGGATGCCAGCACTCTAGACAGCGATGATGGCTCTTGCTGTGCCACAGCGCTGCCTCAGGGATAGACTCTTAAGAACAATTATGTTGAACTAGCAAAACTGCTTGAGCAGGACCGTCGGAGCCTGCCCCACATCGGGGACCTGGAATGAATGTGAGGCTGGGTGGGGCTTCTCACTTTGTTTCTCCGCTGACCCCTGGGGGAAAAATGATGATATTACTGTGAAAACAATGGTATTACCCACTTTCCTGTAGCCCTTGACCCTTTGTGCCTTAATCAACTCAAGTAAGATTATAAATAAATTTTAAAAAAATTATGAACTTATACTTAAGATGCCTGATTTTGTTTACAGAAGGAATATATCTCAGATATCATCCTGAATTTCCAAAATGATTTATTTTTAAACTTATTTTTGAAGGTTTAATTGTTTAAGGGGCATAATAACAAAGAAGGAGAGACTAAACGAGGACATGTTACAAGCGAGAGAAAGATATCTTCCATCAGTGGCTATTACACCTGCAATAGACGAGTCAAAAGCCAGGAGATTGGAAGTCAATTCAGCTCTAATGTTGGTGGCAGAAGCCCTAAAGAGGTGACCATCATTGGATGATTTCCCAAGTGCGTTAGAGCACAGCTGGATTGGAGGTGGAATAGAAAGGTTTTGAAGCCACCCCTCAATCTATGATGCAAGTGTCATTCACAGGAGTTTGCTTTACCTACCATCTCACAACCCCAGCCTTACAATGTATTTTTTAATACAGTAGTAAGATATCTTCTTTAGATTTTTTTAGTGCATGCTAAACTCCAGCACTTGTCTTGTTAGTGAAAGTAAAGTTATAAAAGAGTGGAATCTTCAACAATTTTATTAAAAGTGTAAAGTGCTTTTGTAAAAACAATTGTACAATTGAGAGATGCATAAAAATCAAATTGCTATTTAGTAGAAAATTAAATAAAAGATATTTCTTTTTAAAAATCACTAAATCTCTTAAACAGCAATACAGTAATTAATTTTGTTTATGCTAAAATTATTCAAATATCATCATTTCCAATATGACCAGCATCTTATGAATTCTTTAGATTTTGCTCCTTCTCTAAATATTTGCATCGTACCTCATTTCAGAGAAGGACACGTGACCTACCTCACATCAATATTTCTTCTCATTTCAAGAATTTCTTTAGAGTTTGTGTGACCCTGTATCTTTATCAGTATTCACTCTGACACATTACTTTTACTAATCCAGTGTGTATAAAATTGTACAGCATTGCATTTTTAATTGTTATCTCTTTCACTGCTAAGGGGATAGGCTCTGTTCACATGTTTGTGTTATTCATATGTTCTTTTGGGAATTTTTTAAATTGTATAAAATCTTTCATTTATTACTGTGTTTTTTTAAATTTTATTTTCTCTCACTTATTTTTAATGGAAGTGTTCATGGATGGACAGTTATAGTCTATTTAGCTTTTCTGTTTCACATGCTCATATTGTCCAATTGAGAGGTTATACACAAACTGAGCTCAGAGATGGTCAATTTCTAAATAGAAAAAATCAAGCTTAAACCTAAATCTTTATTTTAAAATTATAAGGGTTTTGCAATTTTATGACCTCCTACATCAGACACATAACAGCTAACTGATAATTAACTTCTTCATGTTAACTCAGTCAAAAATAGCAATGATTGTCACCTCAAATTGTCATTTTGAAGTTGTATTCATAGAAGAGTGTGATTTACAAAAGAAACCGCTTACTTTATGGTACAGGATACAAACCATACTTGAATCATAATTGTTTTGTGAAATGCCTAATAAATAGTCAAGGAGGATACAGAATTTCTACAGGAGACTTAATGGGTTAACTAAGAATATTTATAAGGAAAATAATACACTATTATTCATTTTATGATTACATAACAAACAATATTTGAGATGGGGTAAGATACTGAGCAGAGATTTATGGAGCCATGGTTCTGATGGTTCTGGGTGTTGAGGAGTTCAGGGCACACATGTCTGAAAGCTTCTTTGTTGCATCGTGACATGAGGAAAGGCATCACTTGACAGGAACTAGAACAAGAGGCTCTAGTCTTCACAGTGAGAGCCAGACTCGAACCATTATCTTACAAGATTTGGGCCACGATTAGGATCACTTAGTACAGTATGAGCAACTTGCTCCTTATCACGTAGGTCCTTCTGCTAGTTCCGGTGTAAAATCTTCTTGGATATGACCTGGATTTCACTATCTCCTCATAAAATTATTTCCTCTTCCTTTTCCCCATGTTAGTACTCAACACCAGTACTTAGTTCCATCTTTTTTTGTTCACCAGTCTTAAAATGCTGTCTAGCGATTTCCCATGAGCATGAACAAGTTTCATGGTTGCTCTTATATTCTTTTCCTGGCATGGGGCCTGAACACAGTTTATTCCATTAGGAACTGTATCCCAGTCAAGGACGTCTGACAGTCAGTTTTACTGAGGACATCTTTTGAGAATTTTATCTATTCTTCACAGGAATTTGAATCTCAATTCCCTGATACAATTTTTAAAAATCTGTATTTTTCAGTCTTTCAAGTTGTTGGAATGAGGCTGATTTTTGACAGGCCAGCATCAGCCTACTGAGGCAGTCTTTTCCTATAATATGTGAACCTGGCCATAAATTTGATTTTCCAATCATGGCGCTATCCTCTGGTCTTTCAGGGAAGGGAAAGCTCAGAAGTGGGCTCAAAGTCTCTTCAGAACCATCGTTTTGTTTTAATCACATACAGCAAGGTTTTACTTTAATTAAAAATACAGTTAAGTCAGAAATAAATAAAATTAGCTAACAAAACTGTATGTTTTGTCATTTGAAAGCAGCTCAATATATTATATTGAAATAAAAGGAAAACAAAATTGTTTCAAAAATTAAAATTCAGAAAATATAATCCTCAATTATTTTATTAAGAAGATCAGTTGAGAATTAATAAGCAAAGTACTCACATTGAAAGTCATAAGAGAAGGAAAGAGTAGATAATAAAAAGTAAATTAATAAGTAGCAGAAATTATGTAATTAAATTCAGTGGTACAATAGAAATTGAAAATCCTATGTTTAACATTTCATATTAAAGATTATGAAACAGAAAAGTCTGGCAATACTGGTCAAAATTATAAAACCAGAAATAACAATCAAAAGGCAAGCAGGAACACTGGAGTTGCAACCAAAATATTGCATTTACAAGTAAGAGTGTTTTTAATAAACAGCATCATGAGACAAAATGTAAGAATCGAGTTGTGATTTTGTGAGTTAAATTGTCTCTTGTAATGCCAGCATCATATTGGGACCACCAGTTTAAGTTCCAGATGCAAGAATTTTGATCCAGCTCTTTGATAATGTCTTTGGGATGACAGTGGAAGATAGACGAGGTTCTAGAATCACATTAAGTGTCCTTCAGATTACTTATGCATTTCCTAGTAATTCTTCCCTCTTTGTCCCAGAGATTCCTTATCTTTCTTTCTTTTTTTTTTTTTTTGTTGTTGTTGTTGTTGTTAATTTGGAAATTCAGATATACATAGAGAAGGAGATAAAGAGAGAAAGATTTTCTGTCTGCTAATTCATTCCCCATTTGGCTGCAATGGCCAGAGCTGAGGCAAACCGAAGTCAGGAGTCAGAAATTCCTCCCATGTCTCCCACATGAATGCAGGGTCCCAAGGCTTTGGGCCGTCCTGGACTACTTTGCCATGCTACACACAGGGAGCTGGATTGGAAGTGGACCTCCAGGAGTAGAATCAGTGCCCATATGGGATCCCAGCACATGGATAGCGAATACTTTAGCTTCTAGGCTACCACACCTGGTCAGTTCCTGAGTTCTTTTTCACCAGCCTTTTAACTTAAAGGTTAAAACCTCACATCCAAAATGCTTTGGCAGTTCATATGGGTTAGAAAAAAAAATGGTATGAGGGCCCAGCACGGTGGCGCAGTGGTTAAGGTCCTCGCCTTGCATGCCCAAGATCCTATATGGGCGTCAATTCTAATCCCGGCTGCCCTGCTTCCCTTCCAGCTCCCTGCCTGTGGCCCGGGAAAGCAGTTGAGGACGGCCCAAAGCTTTGGGACCCTGCACCCGCGTGGGAGACCCGGAAGAGGCTCCTGGCTTCGGACTGGCATAGTATCAGCCGTTGCGCTCACTTGGGGAGTGAATCATGGGAGGGAAGATCTTCCTTTCTGTCTCTCCTCTCTGTATATCTGCCTTTCCAATGAAAATAAATAAATAAATAAAAATAAATCTTTAAAAAAAAAAGAAGAAAAAGAAAAAAATGGTATGAGCCCTCTGTAGCCTAGATGCCAGAGCTCTGTCTTCCTTTTAAATCTTAAAAAAAAAAAAAAGAAAAAATAATAATAATAAGCTGGGACTATTCACAAATTTTCATGTCATCCTTTTGCAGGGGCCATGCAAATTATCCTTTTATCATCATAATGTGGGTGGCAGGGACCAGAGAATTTCAGTCAGCATGTACGACTTCCCAGGATGTATGAGGAGGGAGCCTGATTAGAACTGAGAGACCTGGGACTGGAACCATCAGTACTGTTTGGTAAATGGGCTGCCTAAACAGCAATCTCACCCATTATATTATGATGTCCTCCTCAAGCTCTCAACTCTTATAACTTCTGTATGGAAAGTTAAGACTTGAACACATAAACTTCAGTAAATATATTCACAAATCTCTAATTAAGGAAGAAGTCCTACATCCTGTATTTATTTGTCAATAAAAACCCAACATGGAGATCTAGCAAGAGTGATGGTTGAGTAGGAGGGAATGGTAAGTCAACAATATTAAAACTGATTTTTCTCAGTGTAGATGCTACTTTGAATTGAGTGAAACTTGCTTTGAATAGCATGCTGAAGGAATGGCATGCAAAGAATCTAGGAATGATAATGGGAAGCCTGAACTAGTGTAGTCCAGTTTCTGTGAAGGAGGAAAAATGAGTATTATCTGAAGCTGAGATTAACAGAATACATTCAATGTAAGGAAAAAATGTGTTAGCATATTACTTTGCTAGGATTCACTCATGAATAGTGACATACTAAGATGGAAATTATGGAGGTAAAAACAAAGTGAGTCAGAATATTAGTCTCATGATTTGAGAATTTCAAGAGAAGATTTGGAAAGAAAAGCAATGAAATGCAGTTTTCTTTTTTGTATCATGCTGTATTTATTTACAAATGATGTTTCAGATGTTAAACAAATGTTATACATGCAAATCACCAACCTGCTTTTTAAAATAATAAAGCTAGAATGTTTTTATCCATTTCAAGTTATTGAGGCTCTTTTAAAATTTATTTTTTGATTGAAATTTGAAATTTTATTTATTGTGGCCTACGTGCTTTACCTAGTTTCTAATTTGATAGGATCTTTAATTTATTATTTATTGAACTACATCTTTAGGAGGGCATTGAGCTTTTGAATGTACTGGAGAATAAAACCATGCTATCTCAGGAAAACAAACTCTTACCCTAACCTAAATTAAAAAAAATATATATGGACAATTTTATTCTGTAATATTATTGAAAAGGAAGTAAAAATTGATGCTTGAGAATAAAACAGTTACTTAGGAATTGTCATAATGCATGGATCTATAGGACCATGGTAAATACTAAGTATACTATGTATCTATGGAATCAAAATATAATGAGACTGGGATTAAGAAATTAATGTAAAAAGGCTGTTTGTGAAGGAATAATTGAATGTTTCACTATTTTTTAATGCTATCGTTCCGTAGATACAAGAATCCCCCCTCGCACCACTCCATTCCTTCCCTCTGCTTTTCTCATATTATTAGAATAGTACAGTGCTTCAGCAAAAGTGACAGTACAACATTCTGCTATTTATAGGTATCATGGCGTTGTAGGTATAGATAACGATATGAAATCTACTATCCTCAAGATATATTTAACAGCTTAAAAAATAACTCACTGTGAAGTATTGAGAAAGAAAAAGATTGGACAATAGTAAAATGTTCTATTTTCTTTCAGTTTAAGCCTGAGTCACACACATTGTATCACAAATATCATGGTTAGTGAATTGATAAACAAAACAATGGATAACTTCTATACGTTAGTGTATACCATCAAAATAACAAAGGCAGATGAGTGTTTCCTTCGTGCACTTAAACAAAAGCACACACACAGTTGACCTTGAATGTAAACTATTCTTATTTTTTTTTTTGTAAAATGAATAATTCAGTTCTCATAACTTTGTCCCTCAAAACCACCACCTCAGAAATGGACTTCGGTTATATTTCCAGCAGCCATAAGGTGAAACTTAAACATGCTCCTCCAGCTCTATTTCTCCTTAAAAACAGAATGCAATGCTAAACTCTGTTTCATTATTTAAGTTCTACTCCCCAAAATGAGTCATAAATTTGTAATTTTTTCTTGTTTGCCTTCTACCTTCTGAATGAAGGGCAGAAATTTAAGGATGTGTTTTTACATGAAGCCAGTGGAGTGAATCTTCCTTCTAAACAAGTTAGTAGCACATAACCGACATGATGTAATCTACTTTTTCACGTCACTTGTGCTTAGAAACTTAATGATTCATTTCTTTCTTTTTAATTATCTATTTGAAAGTCAGTTACAGATAAAAATACACACAGCACACACCTGGGGATGAATGAGAGAGGGATACGGAGATAAGAGAGAGAAAAAGAGAGAGAGAGAAAGAGAGAGAGAGACTGACTCTTTCATCTATTGGTTCACTCTCCAAAGGGCCACCATCACCATGCAAAGCCAAAAGCCTTGTGGAATTCATGTGAACCTACCATGTAGGATGCTCAAATCAAAGCACTCGGCGATCTTCTGCTGCTTTTCCCGGCTCATTAGTAAGGAGATGGATCAAAAGTAGAGCGACCAAAGGGTAGACTGGTGTTCATAATGGATACCAACATTGTTGTATCAGAACACCAGAAATTCATCTTCTACTCTTCATCAACCAATAAATTCCTAAAAGTGAACACAGCTAAGTCCAGTATTAGGCTGCATCACAGGTTTCTAAAGGTCTAAATCCTTATATAAATCCAATCAACATGTGTTATATTTGAGGGAGAATTGGTGTAGCATGGAATTGACTACTGAATAACTAAATTTTAAAAATCTAACAAAGATTATTATCTTTAAATTAAAATATGATAAAGTTGTAAATTTAGTTTCACATTTGATCTCATACAATTACATTTTTCCTTATAATTTTAACAGCATTGTATTGTTCCTCAAATTATTGCCCTTTTCTTATGTAATCCTTTTATTATACTGTAAAACATATGATTTCATGCAATATAATTACTTGGACATATTAGTGAGGTGCGTAAATATATTTTAAAATCTCTAAGTTGAGTCAGTTGTGGTTTATATAAAACACATTTCAATAGGAATTAATTCATTAATGAATTAATTAATTCATTAGAAATTAAATGAAATGTTTCATACAATTAGGTTGTATACAGGAGAAAGAACATGAAATATATACAAATAGAAAACAAAATACAGGAGATGTAGTTCTTAAAAGTAACAAAACATTATGGAATTGTGGAAATAAATAACATGGATAAAAGAATTGTTACACATCATATTTCACTAACAGGAATATTATTTTTTGGGAACTGTTTAATGCTTATTTTCTAATACTATTTATTTTAATTTTATTATTTTATTTTCCATAGTACAGGTTTTTTTTTCTTACTTTTTCATTTTATTTCCCAGTAGTTTTTTTTTGTATTGATTATGTGACACATTTCCATAGATACTGGGATTCCTCTCATCCCTCGCACAGTCCTCCCCCCATGGCGGGTTCTTCCACCTTGTTGCATAACGGCGTAATAGCATAGTGGTTAAGGTCCTTGCCTTGCACCCCAACGATCCCATATGAATGCTGGTTCTAATCCCAGCAGGTCCACTTCCCCATCCATCTCCCTGCTTGTGGCCTGGGAAAGCAGTCTAGGAAGGCCCAAAGCCATGGGACCCTGCACCCACGAGGGAGACCCAGAGGAAGCTCCTGGCTCCTGACTTTGGATTGGCTCAGCTCCAGCCATTGCGGCCATTTTGGGAGTGAACCATTGGACAGAAGATCCACAGTACAGTTTTTTTTAACTATAGAGATTTCTCACTTTCCTCTTACCTTCCCATTTTAACCATCATACTCTTAATGTGTACTAGTTACTTACTTGAAGCATATTGTACCATAGTTCAACCTTTAGTCATCTTTCATTCAGGCTAAATTTGTATTCAATCTCCTTTAACAGTTAAACTAAAAAAGAAAGATCCCTGTTTTTGAAATTCAGCTTTTTGATAGTATTAAACATGAAGAATATAGCAAATGAGAAATCTGCCTGAATGTGCAGCTTTTCTATAGTAAACTGAAGGCCATGTCAGCAGTGGAACATACTCTACTCAGTGATGAATTGCTGGTGTGAACAGCAGCTACAGAAACAGAGCCATTAGCAAGACGGATGAGTGTATTAGCAAGTGCAGGCACACATCTCTGCTAACGGTAAGGTCACAAAGCAAACATTAACAATCAGGAACATTAATACATTCTCCCATACCAATGCTTTCTCAACAGTGACTTTTGACAGGTACAGTCTGGGTCCCATATGTCTCCGGTTAAACCTCAGGGACAATTTTATTTCTGTCACCAAACATTTCTACAGATTTGCTTTCAAGATGATAAAAGCAACTGAGTCAAATTGTTAAGTTTTTCTTTATGTTTTGTAAACATTGTAATAAGTCTCTTCTCCAAACAGATAAACGAAATGGGTGGCTTAAGGAGTATTATGTCACATAGCATGTGTAAATTAATCACAGGTTGCTGGTTTCCTTCTTATTAACTGTATGTGTTGCTCCCTATCAGCCTGAAAACATACGCACAAGATGATTTTACAACCTTTTTTTTTTTTTTTTTTCTGTACGGTGGCAAAATTATCATCAAATAGAGCAAGCACTCTTACATTTTTGGGGAAAGAGGAAAAAGGAGTGGGCAAAAAGATAAACAAATTATGAGCAAATGCATTACTCACATCATATTCTTCATCTTATTATTATTTTTTTGCATTTGCTGAGCAGCTTACAGACTAGGAATTAATTCATAGATGAGGACAAAAGACACATAAGCCCTCCCGTGTATGGGAATGAGGTTTCTACAAAGCAAGCAGTAAAAATTGTTCAAGAGGGAAGGGACTTAGATATTTGCCTGGGTGACAGAATCTTGTTCTGGCAAGGAGACAGAGCAAAATTTCTCCTAGGTCTACTCAGATGTGGACTAAAAGAAGGGGCATGTGGAACAAGAAAGTTGTCAATAGCCTAATCAAAATTGGATTTTTTCTCATAATTATACTAACTTTGACCGTGTTGTAATTGCTGAAATAAAAGTAATAATGAGTAAATGTATCTGATCAAGTAATAAGAATAATTATGGCTTTTTTCACAGATCTTAAAAATGTGCTTCTGAGATT